ACACTGGTTGATTTCCCAGCGAAACTCAGCAGGTGGAATTACACTGAACCTTCTTACACATTAAAAAAACTAGCTGTGAAGATTCCTATTTGTAATATCAGCTTCAACATTTGGATGTGTTATCTCCTGAAGACTTAATTACTTTTTAAAATATGACTTAAATGCTTTTGTTTTGTAAAATAATTTGCATCATTCATGAAGAATCAAATTGAACAGGATTTGTTCTTTTTTTAAAAAAACAGCACTGGCTCAGCTCTCTTTATACTGGAGCCTGAGAGACAGAAAGAAACAAGATTCCACTCAAATTGGCTAAATAATCTCAATCTTACAGAAACTTGGGGCAACTAAAATGCCCCCTAGAGAGTAACATTTCATGCTTAGGAAGGAGTTATTTACTTCGTGCAGGAAAGTATTTTGCTCCAAAGTAGGGGCTGGCTCGCCATAATATTGGGTTTAGCCTATCATGGGACTAGACTGAAAATACTTTATGCTCTCAATTTATTTTTCTCACATCTGGAACAGGGTTAATTTTTTTCTAGACCTGGATTATGAAAAATTTCTCCTGTCAAAACTGCATGCCATATGCTTGATGGTAAGCATTTTAGTTTAATTGCAAAATGTACCACTGGGAAGCCTAATTATGTAGGGTGTGGGCCCAAAGTAGAAGTCACCCACCTCTAGGTAAACCACAGACACAGATCTCTGAGAACCTGAAATGCAGAGCTTCACTGCAAGGCAGAGAGGTATTTCCTGCCAGGCTGTCCCCCAGGAAGACTCTTGCTGTTGGCAAGGGGTTGTTTGCACAGGCTGAGATCTTTTTTCCTGGCCGTGGGGGTCCTCTTAAACACAAGGGAATTGTGGTGGCCCTTTGAGGTTGCAAAGAAAATTATTTGAGTGCCTCCTTTCAGTTTCACTCATAGCCCCTCTGCCCTGCCATAACAAGTGGTTCCTTCTCTTGCTGGGGGCTCTTTGGCAATGCCTTAGGGTGAGCTGTTGCTAAAACTGCTTCCTCTCTATTCCCTGCATTCACTGCAGCCAAGAGCACAGAAGAGAGGGATTCCCTTTTAGCTTTGTGCCAGATGCTTTTACAGTTCTGTCATGTTTTTGTTTTCCTACTGGGCAGAAATTAAGAGTTTTTATTGTCTCAGAGCACTGCTATTCAAGCTCCAACTTCAGTGGCAAAAACAAAACCAAAAATCACAGATAGTACCAACATAGAACTATTGTTCCCTTTATTTTATGAAATGAAAGTACAAATGCAGATAGCAAGTATGAGTGTTTATCCAAACATATTTCAAATGCATCATATATGGAATGAAAGTTTATAAATTCTTCTGTCTGTATTCACTAGGCACATACTCTAGGCCCTGTGTAGGCATGAAGCCTATAAAAATAAATAACACTGACACTGTTTTGAAGAGATTCATACTGTGTTCTGGGAAATGGGTGTAGGGAGAACACAAAAATGCAGATGCATAGCTGCATTGCAATATATATGCTACCGAAATTCAGAGAAACAGTACATTTTAACTTTAGTGCTTTAGAGCCATTTTGCAGGGGCAACAATGCTCGAGGTGGCTTAGAAGGTGAAGTTGAACGCTCAAAAGGAGAAAGGGACTGTTGCTAGAAGGGGAAAGAGTGAAAAAAATGCACCAAGGCCAAAAGTAACATGGAGTGTCTAGAGAATGGAGAGTATTTTGGTATCACAAGAAAGTGGGGTTCAAGGGGGAAAGCGATCTAAGGCGAGAAAAGAGTATCCAGGTGATAATGCACATTTGATAAAATGGCAAGACTTTAAGGCTCCTTACTCTTTAGGCAATGGAGTTTGTCTTTGGAAGGTGTGAGAGAGCACTTATAATACGCCATATATTTTTCTAAGTGCTCTGAATATTTTTGGTCTTGTAAGAAGTGCTATTCCCATATGAGGCAAGGACTCGAGTGATTGCATCTCATAGATGACACTGGGAAAATATGGGATCAATTCCTTCCTCTTTTCAAATGTATTGATAGCTCCTACAAATTCCCAATCAAGACCACAGCAGGCTTGTTTGTAGAAACTGATGAGTTGTTTCTAAATTCATGTAGAAACACTAATGTCCAAGTGCAGACAAAACAACTTTAATAATGAACAAATGTGGGGCCGGGGATTCCGCTCAATGGCTCTGCCGCCTCCCTCTCAAGCACAGGGTCCTGAGTTCAATGCCTGGTACCAAATATAAAATTAAATGAAAACAAAGAAAAACTGTGGAGAATTTACACCACTTGACTTCAAGATTTATTGATAATCTATAATAACAAAGACATTTTAATAGTTGTATCAAGGTACAAAAGTAGATTGGAGAGTCCAGAAATGGAGTAATTGGATACAAACCTGAGACCATGAATCAAAACAAATCTTTCTTCCTTGCAAGTTGGGTATCCCAGATATTTTGTCATAGCAGTGGAAAAATAACATGAGAAAAAGGCTATATATATGTTATATTATATATATATATAATATAATATATATATACACACACATACATACGTTGATTTTTTGTTTTACAAAGGTGCAAAGGTAGAGAAAGTATAGCCTTTTAAAAATGACATGGGAACAATTGGAAATCTGTAAGCCAAAACATGAAAAGAGAGGAATATTTGATCCACACCTCACACCATATGCAAAACTGAAACTTTGAAAGTTCTGGAAGTAAACATAGAGGAAATCTTTGTGAAGAAAGGTTTGACAAAGATGTCTACATGTGACACTGGAAGTGTGATCCATACAGGAGAAATATAACTATACTTCATGAAAACTAAAAACTTCTTTTCAAAGCATGTGTTAAAAGAAAGAAGAATTCCACAGACTTGGATCAGATCAATGCACAGCATGATAAGATGATTGCATGCAGAATATACAAGCAATGTTTAAAAACTCAATTTAAAAAAGGCAGTCCAATAAAGATGTAGTCAAAGATTTGAACAGATACTTCACCAGAGAGGAAGGGATCAAAAAAGGGAGAGTAGGGCTGAAGATTTAGCTCAGTGGTAGCCCATCTGCCTTGCAAGTGCAAGGTCCCAAGTTTGATCCCCGGTACCAAAAGAAAAAGAAAGGGGGGAGATGACGGGGTTTGATGGATATCGCATTTGTGGTGATGGTTTCACAAATGTGCATCTGTGAAAACTTGCAGCATTGTGCATTTTGTGTCAATTACGCCTCAATAAGTCCATTAAAAATAAAATATAATCTGAGCTTAGCCAGTGTTTTAACCTTTAGTCTATGAGGAAATCTATGCACCATGAAGCCATCATTAAAATAAAAATATATTTAACTAGATAGTATATTTTGATGTGTTCCCTCAACAACTGTGTATCAAATGTCAACACTACCAGGAATGCCTGGATGGAGCCACCCAGGGGAGGATGAGGCAGAATTCAGCTCTCATGGAGATGGTTTGGTCAAGACGGCATTGTAATAGGGAGGCTTACAGCACAGCACAGGCTTTGAGTTGAAGAAAGCTTTCCGAGAATTGTTCAAAGATTGGGTCACAGAATTAGGTTGTAAGTAGCAGAGTCAGAATTCAAGTTCTACCCCAGACTTTCTACTTCTAACCACTACTGCCATTCCGTCTTCTGACTCAGTCACACCCAGAAAGACTAAAACAGAATTGAATTGTATTAACTCTCTTACTACACATTTAATATTATTTCTTTTTCTCCCACTTTATTGAAGAATAATCAACAAAAATTACATATATTTAAAGTTCACACTATGACGTCTGGATAGACATAGTGATTGTGAAATGGCAGATGAAGTAATTAACATATTCATCAGCTCGCAGAGGATTCAGTGTTAATTTAGGGCCTTCCCTGGGAAGCCAGGAAAGAGCCTATCAGGACATAGGATATGTGAGGTCCTCATTCACATGCAGTTGGTAGACATTTGACTTTGTGTGTGGTCCTGGGGCCCAGCAATAGGCTGAAGTGCAAGTCAGAGTCATGAGGCACAGCAAGAGACTGCCGATGGTTAAGTCTTCTTTTGGTGAGCCCAGTGTAATCCAGAGGAGTTAGGTGCTGGACAGGAGTGGCCTTGGCAGTGCTTGAAGCACAGGGGCTTCTTTTAAGTTCTTGGACAGGATCTTGATATCTGTTACTCAGCATTGGATGAAACTTTCTCTCTAGCATTTCTTTTAGAGAAGAAGGGTGCTCAGCACCTAAATAAAGTCCCCAAGGGTGAGTTCTGTGACTCCGTGACTGCCGCAGGCGCTGTGAGGTCTAGGTGTCAGTGTCATGGAAGAAACCCGATCTTATCTTTAAGAGTGTGTGCGGAGCACAGAGGAAGTATGAACAGAGTAATTAAATTAGCCACACACCTGCGCTCCACTGTGGTCACCAAGTATTTCTTATTCCCCACAGTCTTGCTCCCGGGGGTGCCTATCAGCCACAAGGAACTACAGTAAACTGGCTTTGAAGCGTGCTGGCCCTTTCTCATGACAGTGAATGTGTGACTCTGAAACTCTTTTCCTGGCATTCAGACTGTGCCTTTAACTGCCTACTGCGCCCCTCCTGGCATGTTCGGTGCTATAGGTAGTGTCGAGATGAGTCCATAGGATCTGTGTCTTCCTACATTTAAGACATTTTCCACCCTCAACACTGTTAACATCTTAGGCAGTTTAATTCTTTGTTTTTGGTACTTCCATGCATCACAGGATGTTTAGCAGCATCTCCAGCCTTTTCCCACTGATTTCCAGCAGCACCCCAGTCATCCCCAGCTGCAACAACCAAAAAGTCTCCAAGCACCTGCCTAGGGGACAGAAACCAGCCCTTTTAGGGAACCACGCCCTTATGGAGACTTTATTTCAGTCTTGACCAAGGCCACTCCCTCTTTGCTAATCTCGCCTCAAGAAGCTGGGATGAGGGGTTTATTGTGTTTCCTTCCTCGTTCACATTTGCCTGTCCTTCCCTTTGATATTGGCACTTTTATGGAATCAAACCAAACATTACATACATCTGTTTTCCAGGACCACCGGGCTTCTTTTCTTAACATCTGCAAAACGAAGAAGGGTCACGTAATATCTGCTCCCAAATGATAACTCAACACACAGCAAATGGTTGCCTCTATTCATGAGACTAAAAGGAAAAAATACATTCTGGTAAGCCACTGAGTTCATTATAATCTTATTGGATACCACATCCTAATTAGCAATTTTTTTTCCCAATTGTTCCCATCATACCTGAATCACATAAAGGTTGCACTTTTATTTGTTTGTTTTTAAGCCTTGTGTCTTGAAAGATTGAATACAATTTCCCTGCTAACATCTGTGAGGGACAAACATTGCACCTGACCATGATTTTCCTCCAAAACTACCTAGCTTTTCCTGCAGGAGTTGAGTAAGGAAGGGTAAGTAACAGGAGATGGTCTTCTGTTCCTTGAAATCAACTTTAGATAGCGGTAATAATTAGGATTCATTTTCTCTCCCCATTGAGACTGTGCCCAGACTATTGCTGCACAAGCCTCTGCCAGAGATGGCATTTTTAAGCAGTGATTGACAGCACCCACCGCTCACAGGCAGGAGAAGGTGCCCGCTGACCCCCGAGGGTTGAAGTACTAAGTTATGTTTCCAAAGCTTGATGGTGCCAAGATGTCTTAAAGCTTGTGAAGTTTCAGGACCAACATTTGTCAGTGAACTGCTTGATGGTTTCAAAATGTAGATTAGCTCTGATGATGGATTAGAAGCTACAAGAAGAAATTATGGAGCAACAGCATTTCTGAGTTCAGAAGAGGCTTTTAGCTCTGTTTATAACAAAGTGACCGGGTGTCATTCATTGTCTGCACTTCCCTTTAAAGTGACCCAATGGGATTGCCGTTGAGTTTTCCATATTCTGTCCCTGGACCCCAATTCACGATTTTTCCTTGCTGCTTCCATATATTGGAAGTATTAAAATACTTCCCTGTGTGTGCACGACTCCATAACCTCTCTTTCCCTAGGATACAGACCGTGCTTTAACAGCTTACTTTCTACACCTAACATATTAGGAGCTATAAACCCAACGCACCTCAAACTCAGCATTTCTTCCGAATGTCTGCTTCTGATGAATACCGTCCTATCCTAGTCATCCTCGCCTAAGCCACAGTGTCATTTCCTTCGTCTGTACTCTCGGGGCCCTGATTTGTCATCCAGTCAGGAACGATGTTCTATGAATTCTTCTTCTTAGATATCTCTCCTAACGTTCCCATCTCCAATCCTTCTGCTACCTCAGCAATGACAGCTGCACCTCCCACCTCAGGCTCCAAATGGGAACCGCAGCCACAACTGCCTGGCCTCCTTTTCCCTTTTTTACATTAATATAGAAGCTGCCCTGCTAAAGGAAAGCTGCATTGATACATGGACCTTCCAGTCTAGCCCTTGTCGCCCACGTAGAGTTGGTGAGGCGGGAGGAGTCATCAGTCTCTTTTGTTTTCATTTCCTGAGTCTCATTTCCTGAGACGTGGGGCAATTTTTCCATCACAGTTCTTTAAAGTACCAGTGGACTTATCACTCTGCTTTTACACTGTTTTCAATTATCATATAGTCTCCAGCTAACTTCATTTATTTTATTTTTTTAAATGCATCAAAACCCCTTGTGTACTTGTAAGAACATTCTTCTAAGTACTTTAGAAATATTAATTGATTTAAGTTCAAAACAACCTAAATTTTTTCCTGCCACTAAGTTGAAGGATGTATTAGGATATTACCTAGCAAGCTCTAATGCTTGTACTGTGAATGAGAGTCCCTGGCAAACCAGAGAGTGTGAGATGAAGCCAGGACTTAGTCTTGGGTCTACATTTCCTCTGCTGTTATCTCTTCCCTCCGTGTCTTCTGCTTATTAACTGTGTCTTGAGGACACCGAACTCAGTGGACGCGAACGTGAAACATGAACGTGAAACACGAACAGGCAGCATATGCCTTCCAAACACTGCAGTTGCCTTTCCATTTACAAACTTAATCAGTCCTGCAAGCCCAGGGAAGATGGTGTGGTCCTCGTCCTTCGTTCCCACTCAGAGTTTGCAAGTGGAAGCAGAGTTCTGCTGAGTGCGTGTCTGCAAATGGAACTGTTTGTGAACAGAAGCGTTGGTGACCTGAGGCATTGCTGTACTTTAAAAATGACGTCGCATTGGATTGTGGGTGCATAATCTCTGCACCTTGGCTTTTCTGAAACTCAGGATAAATATAATTGTCCACTTCACAGAGTTGCTTTAAGGCTTGAATGAATTAACACATATAAAATAGCACCTACCTCATAATTACAATGTATAAAATTCATTTTTATTTATTATGCTCCCATCTCCCTATCTAGATTGCAAGTTCCTTGAACTCTTAAGAGGATAGTGTCTGACATATATTAGGTGCTCCCACTTGTTGGCATAATAATGAATAAAGAGGAATCTCAATAAGGATTTTAGAAGTTTAAACAGAATACGAAGAGGCTGTGAATACAGAATGCCTTATTTGCTACAGATTTCAAAATAATACTCAGGAAACTCCTAGGACTGTACACAGTATCTCCGTGACAGAGAAAATGATATAGCTACCATCAATCAAAAAGAGATTAAATTATCTTCCTGGGAACTGACGAAAGAATTTGGAAAAGCTACTTTATTGGTAGACAGTGCTTTAGAATGCTTTAGAATGACCCAATTAGCTTACGTTTCGTTTAGCTGGTTTTTACCCCAGCTATCTTTTCAAAAGAATGGCAAAGGAAGTGCCTTCAAAGCTAATAATTACATAAATCTCTGCAGGATTTTGAAGGTATCTTTCTATCACAGATAGAAAAGCAAGTAGATCATATTACCCACTTCCCATAGGTATTTTCCAAGTCACCTGACAGTGGCAAATCCAAACAGAACAAAACCAACGTCTCCTTTTCTGCACTCTGCATTCTAACAAATAAAACCATGGAGTAGATGTGGTTTATTTGTCACTAGGTCAGTGTCTCCAACTCGGAGAGTCATGGAAACAAAATCAAAGTTGAAAAAGAAGAGTGAAATCAACCATAGGCACATTTCTAAATCACCAAATATTTAGCAATATGTGAGCTAAGCTTCTGGGTTATAGTTAAAGTTTTCCCCAATGTTTAACTATGTTTTTACCTGAAGATTGGACTCCATGTGTGCGGAAAGCCCCAACCATTACTCTCCAGAAGCCAATTCAAAAGAGTTGGTAATCAAAGAAAGTATAGGTATTTATTGAATTAAAGCAAGGCACAGGAGGAGAAAATCAGGAAACATTCACTAAAGCCAATAGTTTTTGTGGTTAGATTTTTCTGGATTTATACTAATAAAAAATATTCTTCAGCCCAAAAGATCAATTCCAAAATAAATGAAAACATTATCACACCAGCTGAGAAGAGAATGCCCTCACCTTCAGAAGGGCCTGGGAGGAGGCAGGGCCTCAGAGAATCATGTCGGAGTAGATGACATTCAAATTTGTTTGTTAAACATTCTTGACCTTCTGTCCCCTATAAAACCAGCTTCCTTCAGTGCAGCTGAGAAGGCTGCGATTCTGTTGTCCAGGCGGCTAGGCTGGCCTCCTGCAACTTGCTGAGCAGGACGGCGCGGTCCAACCTTCAGGGAGGAAAGGGAGAGGCGGCACATCTCCCACTCTAGTGGGAATTTCAAACAGTTTCCTATTTCCGCTTTCAGAATCTCCAGTCAGGGAAGAACAGCCGAAGATTCGAAGGTGCTGGGGGTGTCTGAGATTTGGAGTGCACGAAATTTCTGTTCTCTGCCTTGGTTTGGGCCTCTCCTGTCTCACTGCCTAGGTTCCAGCTACCCCGAGCCCTGTGCGTCAGGCACGATGCTTTGGCGTAAGCCCACCCCTGTTGCTGTAGCTATCTAAGCTGGAGGAGGATTTATTAGTTGTGAACGTTCATTTTTGTTTTTACTGGTCTGGTGCCAGTAAATAAGTCACCCAAACCATGGCTGAGTGTCATTTGATAGGAAAAGGCTGGGATCACAAGGAAGCTTTCTGTCTTTCAACCAAAAGAAAGAAAAAAACAAAACGGCTGAGGTAAGCAGTGTGAAATCCAGCTGCATCAACATGAGGCGGTGAGACAAATGAGCGCAGGCCGGGAGAAGCTTGGCCCTGGCCCTGGCCGGAGGAAGGCGTGGAGGGGTCTGGGGTTGCGAAGGTCCCCGCTCTCACAGGAAAATTCTCTGCTGCTTTTGTTCTTCTGATCCATCAACACAGCTCGTCTGGGAGGTGGCCCGAGTGGAAAATGTCCTGCCGTGCGCACACGCAGTGTGCACTGAGACGTGCAAGTGTGTGCACGCGTGTGCACGAGTACCCCTGAGTGGATCTGCACGGTGGCTGCGGCCTCCTCCTGTCTCAGACCTGGGCGCCTGGGGACGTTGCCGGGGCGCGGGCTGGGCTCGGCCAGGAATGCTGCCCACTGCATCCGTCTCTGGGACTCCTGGATGGGGCACCAGGGGCGAGGGCTTTTCTCTGTGCCTTTCATATGCAGCGGATTAGAGCGGCGGGTTGCTGTGGCGACCACACGAGCCGCGGCGCACACCTGCACCACCACCGGGGCCGGGCTGTGTGGGAAACACAACAACAACAATAACGGAGAAGGAGGGAGGGAGAAAATGCACCACCAGCTTAACAAAACGGGAGAGAAATCCACAAGTCACAGGCGCCCGAGCCGGGGAGGTCCGGGGGCCGCAGGGCCGCACTCACACCCAGGGCTGCAGGCCTCGCTTCTTACCAGGACTGCAGCAGAGCGCTAAGGAGAGCTACTCCGTGAGATTCCGGTTTCTCTACGCCAGCGTTCAATGGAAAGAAGTCTGGTACAGCACGCGGAAATATAACTATCCAGAGAGGGACAGGGGCCTGCCGAGCTCCTGAAGTTCCCCGCAGCCCCTGGAAAGTTCTGGCGCGGCTCCAGGCGCTGCTAATGAAGAAGTCAGCTCTGCCTGGGCCGCCCGCTCCCAGACAGCCCTGCCCGCCTGCAGGCAGCCCCTTCCTCTTCCCTCATATGATGGCCTTCTGCATTATTGTCTGTTTCCATTAACAAAACATCACGATGCATTAGCCTGTCCAAAGCACTTTGCAATGACAATATTTACGGAAGGTTAAATAAAATATGTATGGAGAGATTAATGGTGACCATGCAGCAGACCTTCTGAACTCGGGGCATGCTGAGCTGGTGTGCTTTTGGAGCTGGGTTCTCCAAGCTGCTTCAGTTATTTTAACATCGCTCAAACAACCCACTTAACGGGGAGGATGATTAGAGAAAAAATTTTTTTCCTCTTTTTTAGCCAATATGCTTAGCAGGCAGTGGAACTGTGCTGTGTTGTTTTCAGCATGGCTGAGAGCAAGAGCATTACTTTGGGGGTATTTGTGCTACAGCAGAATGAGCTGACATAGTCAACTGTCCCATCAAATCACACAAAAGTAACACCGTTTTTGACATCTTTACAGATCCCTACATTGATCTAAGTAGAATGAGTTTCATTATATAATTAAATCTGTGAGTGTTTCTTTTTGTATCTATTTATATGCGCTTCCTATCTTGTAAGGTTGATAAAATAGTTTTAGAAGAAAAGTACCTATACCTTAAGTCAGGGATCCACAAGCTTCCTTTGCAAAAGGCTGCATATTTTGACCTTTGTGGTCCATATGGTCTGTGTACCAAGACTTTACCTCTGCAATTATAGCACAAAAGTCTCCATAGATAGCATGTGTGAATGGGAACGGCTCTGTTGCAATAAAACTTTATTTACAAAAATGGGTAACAAGACCATTTGACCTGTGGGACATAATTTACCTGCTACCCCACTAGATCTATTACCCTCTAGATTGCTTAGAAATGTCTCTGTTTCAACGCCATACTTTTAAATTCCTAACCTAACACTAGTTCAAATAAGAATGCATCCAACTTGCTCATATGACCAGAATTTCTTAACTCTGTTGAAAAAAGAGAGAGAGGACATTGAATATAAAGGGACAGAATTATAGCTAAATAACCAAACAGGTTACATGGTGAAAAAGCAAAATCTTACCCTTGTGATGATCATAGATTTCAAAGGTATCCAGCTCTCTAAAGGGAGAGCTTGCTCCAAAGTGCCTTTTATCACAGGGAGGCAAGCAGTACCTTTAAACACATGTAGTGGAGTGGTCTCCATACCTAGAAATGACGGCCTGAGCTCCCTGCCACATCTCCTCTGAAAGAGCAGACAGGCCTCCAAGGGGTCAAGCATTTCATGGTGTGACTCAGGCTGAAGAAGCCAGCAGGTAAAGGATGGGCTTTAAATTGTAAGTTACATTCTAAAAATGACTTTATTTTTAAATACAAATTTAGATAACTAACCTCATAAGTTTATTATTTTTAGGAGCTGTGTTATTCTTTTTTTTTTTTCTTTTTTGTACTGGGCATGGAACTTGGGACCTTGTGCTTGCAAGGCAGGTACGGTGCACTGAGCTGAATCTGCAGCCCTGTAAGTATTTTTCTTGCTATAGCATTACATTCAACATAGTAGAAGGGTGTGGAGACATGTGTTCACTTCATTCCCACGTATGAACTCTAATATGGTCTATATCGTTAAAACTCTCTACGTGGGCTTATTCAAGATTAGTGGGCCTATCCTTTGGGGATTACATCAATATTTGATGATGGAGCTCTGAAAACTTGCCCTTGTGGAGATCCAAAAGAATGCCACCTTTGTGGATAAGCAGTGGAGGTGATTTAAAAGACATTCTGTTACTGTACAAGAAACAAGGACGGCAAGACTGAACACTCAGTACGATAGCCGTGATTCAGAGCATTCAGTCTTATGGGCAAGGAGCAATGTAAAACTCAAAGAATAAGGATTAATTTCTTGAGAAGTATTTCAGAAATACATGGGGTAAGAAATACGAGAAAAAGTTCTGTTTGCTTTGGTCCGGTCAATTGAAGATTCAGAACATTTTGATTTTTTCCAAGTCTAGTAAAACCAGGGACACATTATTACTGATATTACTTATAGTTACAGTATTGCTTATTGTAGTCTCTCATTTGGGTGAGCCAGCTTCCACCACTCATCTTTTAGATTGGCCATTACTTTAAAGACTAAAGATAAATGTTACTTGGAACGCGGACAAAAGACTCCCCTGTATTCTGCTGAGGAGAATGTAAATTGGTACTGCTATTATAAAACACTGTATAGAAACTCCCCCCAAAATTAAGAATAAAACTGTCACGATCCAGCAATCTCACTATTGGGTATGTATAACAAAATCAGCATGTCGAAAGATACCTACAGCCTCATGTTCACAGCAGTCAGGACACGGAAACAACACAAATGTCTACCAGGAGACCAGGAAAGTATAATATTTATCTCTATATAAACAAAATATTTTTCATCCTTAAGGAAAAAGGAAAGCCTCTCATGCCACATTTGTGACAACATGAATGTACTCAGAGGACGTATGCTAAGCGGAGTAAGAGAGACATAGAAAGACAAATACTACATGATCTCAGTTAGGTGCAAATCCAACACTCAAATCTATCGGAACTGCGAGCAGAATGGTAGCTGTCAGGGTCTGGAGAGGAAGAGGAACAGGGAGAAATCAGTCAAATGGTACAACGTGTCACTTACGCTAGATGAATGCGTTCGGAAGTTCTGATGCTAGAGCACTATGACTAGGGCTTTTAAAAACTATATTTTATATTTGAAATGTGTTGAAAGGGTAAATCTTAATTGTTCTCATTACAAAAAAAGAAAATGGAACCTTGTTGTATGTGTCAAATGTGTACAAAAATTTTTGACCAATGATGTATCACCTAAGCTGGAGAAAGAAAAAGAGAAACCACCTTATATTTTCTTATTTCTGCATAAAGATCTAGAGAGTTTTAGGACATCAGTAAAGACAAATTATCCATTTAATCAGTAATATATGTGAAAATGAAGATTATATAGGTAAAAAAATAGGGTCACATTTTTTTTTAAATAGTACATTTCCAAAAGATACAAAATGCGAACTTCTCTCTGGCTTTAAGAACCTATAGAGAAATGGGAAGATGCAAAATAGCAATGATATTCTTCTATTGGATCGATGTCAAATATTAAGTAAGTAAGTAAAGTATCATGCATGTAAATTTCAAACATTATCTTTATCCTTTATTTGTGATCAATACAAAATAAAATAATTCCAGGTTAAGAGTCTCAGAACCCTGCACTTATATAATGCCTATAATTTCACTTTGATATGATGTGGAATTTTTATAAAAGAAAGTGATGCATTTCAAGGGACCTCTTTTCACATGAACTCGTAATCAGAAAGTCTCTTTAGAAACTTAGTGCCATTGCTAAATTCAGATACCAATACACTACCACCCTGGAAATATTGTGTCCTTCGAGGTGTTCCCTTTAATCCTGAAGACTGAATGGGGAGGTGTCCATCATTATGCAGTCTTAGTGCTACGCTGGAGCTATTTTAAGTAGTATGTGTGTGAGAGGGATGGCATCTAGGTGTTATGACTTATTAAATGTGCAAAGCAAAGAGAAATCAGTGTGCAACAATATTTCTTTGTCTGTTCCACCAGGTGAACACCTGGAGAGTCTGTGTCTCATAGAAGGGGTGGCTTCAGCCAGCACATGCTGGTCGCAACATCCAGACCATCCTCACTCAGTTCTGCACACGGTAGGATTGGCCTGCTATTCAGGGTTGGGATTATCTTCGTCTCTAATTGCGATTCCCATCTGTTATAGAAAAGAAAGAAATGTTTTTCTTCTTTTTGAACATAGCATAAAAGTGATAAATAATATGCAGAAGAAAAAGCACTTCCTTTTCCATACTAGTAACTGAATAGCCAAACTAGTTGCCAGAGAATCAATTTAGGTATGAGAAATGGCTTTGGGGACCCAAAGTTTAATCCTTTAACTCTAGGCCTAAAATCAAACCCAGAGGAACATCTAATGCCAGAAGAGATGGAAATGGAAGGAGGCCACACTGTTTACCAAGTAGATGCCACACATATTACATGGCATTGCTAATGCCCACAGCAATTCTATGTGGTCAATGTGACTACTCCACTTACTGTTACGGAAACTGAGGTTTGGTGAAGATATAAATAAAAAGAATTATCATAGTAGAAGACACACTGTCATGACTCACTCTCAAAATTTTCTCCCTTGCTTTAAACACACTTACCCACCATTCCTGCCCCTTTCTAAAGCAGTGCTAGTACCCCTTGGTAGCTGTCTTTAGTTGCAGTGTGATAGCTGCTTCGATGCCCTGAGTTGATGCAAAACATCTGTCTTTCATGTTGTTTTAACTTTGGGGAGGAACTGGAAGTCTCGCAGTGCCAGATCTGGTTAATAAGGTGTATGAGGACACATTACTGTCCTTGTGAGCCTGCCTGGCCAGGATGATGTTCAGTAGCAGTACTCACTACAAATTTATCACACCTCAGAAAGACCCTTATGAAAGAAGACTTCCAGAGTTGCTTCAGAAAGTAGCAAGGATGATAAGATCAGTATGTGTGAGGGGAGGGGAGGTATTTTTGAGGGGAATGAATAGCAATGTGTCCTTTACTATAATACAACATTTTAATTTAAGTGTTCACCATATATATTGAGCAAACCTTGGAATTTTCCTAAATCATTAGCAAACAAGAATTCCAAACAAATTTATGGAGTTCTTTTAAATGGCCTGTCATCATTTCTTAATTTAAGTGAGGCTTTCTTTAGGCAAATGTTGTAGGAATGTAGTTTTATGGAAGGGAGTTTTAAAACTATCTCTGACAGCTCATGAGAACAAATACAATACAAAAAAAGTCTCTGTTCCATAAACACATTATAATTGACAATAAAAATGTAAATGTGTTCCTGGTGTGTTAATTTGCTGATAATTATTACGATGTTAAAGAAATAGCTGAAATTCACCATTTGCTGAAATGTGGTGACATGCCAAAGTAGTAAGAATGAGAGAGAAAAATGCCATTACTATTTCTCAAAGTAAATTTGAAAATGCAGAATCACACTTTTGTGGAACTGGGACATATGTACAAGATTATCCGAAGTGCATATTATAAGTGCTTCATATCCTTAGGGAAGTTGGGTGTGGCTTTATTAAAAAGAATGGCAACCGAATTAAGGTCCTTGAAACTTCTGTTGAGAGAAAGCAGTGTGGGGGAGAGGTAACTCAATAGAAAATATAGGAGCGTTTGGGGAGAGTCCCTTTTCTTTAGTAAAGTGTACAAACTCTATATTGATAGTATATTATTATCATTCTCTTAAAATGTAATAAAAGAAATAACAAGTTTTTCCTGAAACATGTAGTGTCCAGAATATATGAAAAGTTCTAGCACCCGTGTTGATTTCCTTCCCTGGGAAAAAAACAGCTAAGAAGATCTCAAACTGCCTTGCCTTCGAGATTTTTACCATGTGCTTCAGGAGGTCCTGCAGGGACCCACGCAGTGTCCAAACCACAGGCAGCAAAGTCAGAGTGATGCATTCGCCAGAGATGGTAGGTTCCAAGTTCAAAATACTATGGATCTCTGTCAGGGAAATGGGACAGACTGAAAATTCTAGCTGTTGGAAATATGTATCTTTGCATTTTTTATTTCAGTTTGATTTGAGTCCCCAGAGAAGTATGAAGCATTTGTCAGACAGGATAAAAGGCACTGGAGAAATGATCTATAGTCTTGGATTGCAGAGATCTCACAGAGTCTAGGAGGGGCCATTAATAGGTCTAAGTATAGAAGTTTGCTTGCGGTGAGACTGCGCACCACTTGTCTAAATATTTTGAATATGTACACCTGGCTAACAACATTTAACAAAGATATTGCCCTGACTTCCAGCCTTGAATCACAGAATACTACAGAATGATCTGGAAGCCCGGGTCCCCATTTACAGGACCCAGGTCTAGTAGAGTTCTATAGAATAACATGGTGGCTTGAGGGTGGGACCCGGTCCATGGCTCATTTAGGGCTCCACCCTGTATGGTAGATGCCCTTGCACCTGGGGACACCGTAACCAGTGCTCAGAGAGTTGTCTGTTTCCCTCCTTCACACAAAGAAGCTGCAGCTGACTGCTGCTCCTTCACTCCAGCAAACCCAGTTGGCATATTTCATGCTATTCATATTCATATTTAAGAGAAAGCTAAAAGGAGAGCCCAGAATGGTGAGGAAGTGGACTCTGGCACTGTGGAGAAGAAGTCCTAAGGCCCTCCGCACTGAGAGAATGATCTAGAAGACAAGGCACAGGCTGTACATGAGAGCAGCCCTGGGCCCCAGAGCCCTGCCTCAGTGAGGAGATGGCTGAGGGCAGAGTCAGGCACTCCAAATACTGCTGCACCCTGGCAAGCAAGGGGGTGCAACTGGAACAACATAATCAGCATTGTTGAGAGGCTGGTATATTGGCTCATGTCTTGATTAATACATAGAACATCGCAATTATAATGTTACCTTTTTCTCTCAGTTAGAAATTTCAGGGTTCCAACTGATGTTTGGAAACATCTTCAGCCACTAGCCATCCTACCATTTGTTTTTAATCACATAATAACTGCTTTAAAATGTTTCAAAGATTCTTAAAAGTTTGTCCTTTAAAATTTATCTTGTTGTCCTTTCCTCTTTGTGTTTTTAGGATTGTTGATAACTTTTTATTCCAGCTGTTGTCTCCCCAATATAATCTTTGCTCACAGTGCCCCCATTGCCTTCCAGGTATGTTAGTTCTCAAAAGTCAAAGTTGTGCTATTGCCCTTGTTTTGAATTGCCTCTTCCTCTTCCACAGTTTTCTGGAAATTTAGTCTCAGTTCCCAGCAATGATATTTTTTTGTCCCAGTTCCAAATTGTCTGGTATATCCCTTCTCTAGAACATCACATCATAAATCAGGCAAGATTAACTCAACTTTATTCATATTTTTGGCCGGCATCATTTTTGTATTAATAATACTGAAGGTTCTTTCCCTATAGTTATATTCATTTGGATTTTGGACATGTTCCTCAAAATTCTAAATAGGGTCTTCCAAGTCACTTATTGTTTTGAATCTTGACTTTCTGTACCCATGCTTTCTAAAAACAGATCATTGGACATTTCCTTAATTCTTTGGTCAGCACGCTCACGGTCCTCACCACGTGTATGGAAATGAGAAGGGATGATCCTTCCTTTTCCTGGATGATTTTCAATATGACATATAATGTAATTTCATTATAATCTGATTTCATTTCATTTGAGTCCCACCCAGTGCCTAAATCACTCCCTGGTGTAGTGTTTTATAAACTCAAGGAAAATAAGTTAAGGCTGTCCAATAGTTAGTACATGAGATTATGATCTTTACTTCATTTGGAAAAGTAAACTAGAGAAAATAAAGTACAAGGTGGCATAGTCCCACAAAATCTATCCTAACGGTGGAAGCAGAACCCTTCTCTCATTTCCTGGATGGGCCTTGAACAAGGGTGACAGGAGTTCGATCCCCATCTTTCACTCTTGATCCTTAGAAACTTCCACATTAGGACCAATTTTCTAACCACTTCGGTCCATAGTCTTAATAGTTTGTAAAAACAGAAGATTTGATTCTCTCTATGGTCCCCTTTAGCTTCTAAAACTCTCCTCTTGTCTAGTTCTGCGTGTCCTGAAGTTTCTCCATTTGTTACCACTGAGTCACTGGTACAGTGGACCACAGAGTGGAGCCTTCTCCCCATGCCTCCAGAACTAGGAAGCACAGGACACCTTGACAGCTCGTGTACCCAGCTGAGCCACTGCAGGCAGAGAACAAGTCTGAAAATCCAGCAGCTTGTACAAATGTCAAATCAGGGTGGGTAGCAAGGGGAGAAGGGAAAAGAGCAGGAATGAAAAGCCACTAACGCCACCTCAACTAGGGACCTTCTGTCACCCACAAAAGTTCATGAAGAATGGGATCATCATTATTCTCCGTAATAATACTACACATTGCTTGTGTCTTTCAACGTGGTAGAGAATTGAATTAAAAAGGACTACATACACAATATCATTTTTCTTTTGGGCTCTGCTTTGCTCAGTCTATCAAAAATTGCCTGCATCCACTCTAATACTGACTCCCTCACACATCCAAAAGGCTTTCCTGACATTCTCTGTCTCGTGGAGAATCGCACTCATTAACACTCCACTCCAGCACTAACTTTTGCAGAGCTCCATAATGTCACCAGGCAGAGTCGAACCCTTCTTCCCCACGCTGCTGACAGCAGACAGCGTGTTCCCGTCATTTTGCTCAGTGTTTCATTTTGTTCTGCACCACATTAGCAGGACTTACTGGATACCTGACACGGGGCCTCCTGGCCCTGGCCTGCATCCCAGGAGAACACTCCAGGAAGGAGGGCTCCCCGCTCCCTCTCCCTCTCCCTCTCCCTCTCCTCTCTCTGCTCTCTTCCAGTTCAGGGCCCGCTCGCTCGCAGCCAGCCCTTTCCTTATGAATCTCCAGAGCCTAGTTCAGAAACCAAAATGCATCAGGAATTGTGCCTTTCTTTTTGCATTCCTGTGATTACAATCCACATTCTCCTTCAGGCAATGTAAATAGCTCTAATTAAAGGACAGTTGGGAAGCAAGCAGAGGAAAGAAAAGTACAATTTTAATAGAAAGATTAATATTTCTCCCTCTTGTCTTGCTCCATGCCAGTGATAGACGGGGCCCCCTTTCTTAATTAATTAATTTTATAGTTTGGGTAGGCAGCATGTTAACCAGATTTTCATCAACACCTCCAAAGAGGCCTTTTTAAAAAAGTCTATATCCTTGGACCTGCATACCAGGCTGACGGTGACTTAGGGCACTGAACCCAGTGCTAGTTCTGTCATCTGCCATGCAGGACACTCCCCCTTTGGTGGACTTGGGGCGAAAATTGTAAGCAGTTGCGGCATAGTTTTCATCTACCACAGAATAGAGGGAAATGCCAATTTTTTCAGTGAATATATTGAAATATATTCAAAGAAAAAATGGAAAGCAGTACTAGATTTCATTTTTAACTAAAACTTTGATTTAGTCTAGAATGTAGCACTGCCATTCATGTTTGTATTTAATAAAATAATGTGACATTTTTCGTGTTCATCTTCCTGATAATCACTGCTTTATCTCACCAGCACTGCCATATTTGGTATAAATTGTGATGTTTTTCCTAGATTATTATTTGGAATGGTTTTCTTTCTGTAATATTTGTGTCTCTGAAGGAATGTATACAGGCAGATATTTAGGTGGATACTTTTTATGAAGATGGACAGTTCTCTTTCTTATTATTTCTTTCTGTTAAGTTTCTCAAAAGTTTATGATTTCCCAAGAATATTTTTCAGTGTGTGTATGTGGAGACAGAGAGAGAGAGAGAGAGAGAGAGAGAGAATATCAATGAATATATTTTGGTACTGCATTCATGGTTACTTTTGTGGTTCCTCACACGAGCAAGTTACTCTGCAGATTCTCTTTTCTAACCTTGTATAATCTTTGCTTTTGATGGGCCATGCTCTGCTGATGTTCTGCCGATCTACATTCTTCCTGTTCTTAGATCTCAATTTTTAGAAAATCTTCCTCCAGCCCTCCTGATCCAGTGATTTCTCCTTTAATTCGTTCTCTAAGCGACTGTCTACCCTGTGCACTCCTCAGCTATCAAAGGCTACCTCGTATTGAACATCGTGTCTCTGTCCTGTGAGAGCACTTCTCTCCCTGACGCTTTGAAGCGTCACCCTCGTGGGACCATGACTGCATATTCCGCTCTTCCTCCTCAGTGCCCAGCAATCAGTTGTAAATAGCGTAAGCTTCTGTCCTCAGTGGAGTGCTGACCAGCGGAGAAATGTGGCTTCTATGCAGTATATAGTACATGAAAACAGAACTTGATCCAGGTAGGCAGTGGCAAAGGGTTTCTTTCTGTCAGTGCTGACCCTTTGGGCCTGATGGTCTGTGACTCTGCTCCTCTCCTTATATATTGTTTGCTTTTTGGAAAAGATGTTTTTTTTGTCTAGTCCGTCGCATGTTACTTCAATTAGTGTTCAACAATATTTACAGTATATATGGCCTTCCCATGTGCCAAATACCTGCGTCATGGTCTAGTCCCAGTTTAGTCATCCCTCCCCCCGTCCCAAGTTAAGACAGCTCCAGGCATGCCTAGAAAACTGTTTCTTGTCTGCTTCCTGTCCCAAGGCCTCTGGTAGCTTGAAGCAGCCGGTGGTCAGATTCCATACTCTTTCCAGATGCCTGTGGACAGCAAGGGCCCTGTTACAGAAGGCTCACACTCCAGCTGGGGCCCTGACTCACCAGTAAGTGAGAGTCCTCCTCACTGAAATGCTCCTGGAGACTTCCTTCTCCTCACTGTAATCCTATTATTTTTCCCACCACAGTGTTGGCAGCTGATGAATACTTGATCAAAAAGGAAGTCAGATGCTATCTCTCCCTGGGCCTTCTCAGTAGGACTGAAAACTTCCTCCTCTCTGCTCCATGGCACCTTTCTCTCTCACTCAACTTGTCTGAGTAAGTGACACAGCTCTGCCTGCTATAACTTTAGTTTTCTTAGTCCTTGACAGCAACACCTAGTTTGCATAATTTAAATTTCTTCAGTGTCAAGTACAACAATATTTAAAGAAATGGCCCATGAAATGCTGCATGTGTTCTATAATGATACCCCTAGAAACAGTGCTCATTACATTTGACAGTAGATCATGTTTAGGAAATGTCTTAAGAAATGTCTGGTACTGTATCTAGGATCCACGTGTTTCTCTTAGATGGTATCTTTCATTTCATCTCACTGACACAGCACACTTGCGTCTGATGAAATTTCATGTTACATTTGGACCCATCCCTGAAAGGACTCCTGGTCATGCCCTTTGGATTTGTCTCCCTCAGGGTTTCACTTCAGGAACCCACCATTACTTCTACCCTTTTATTTACCACCTACTTCTGACATGTTATTTGGTAAATTTATGAATTCCTTGGCTTCTTTCTTTGAAGTCAAGTGAGGTATGAATAAACAAGTAAGCTTGAAAATTATATTTGTTCATTTTTCAAATCAGAATTGTGTACAGTAGATTGGTCTAAATTCTTCTGGCTTAAAGAAGTTATATATCAGTGGAATTTGGGGTAGAATGTGGGAAGTGAGGGAGAAGGAAGTGTCCAGGTTGATGCAACTATCTGAATGGTGCCATTCTGAATTAGGGAAGAGAGGAAGAAGGTCAGATTCGGGAAGGCATCACCAAGACATCTCTGATATAAACAACACACTGCAGCTGACTCTTGTGTGGAACCATGTGGTCACAAAGCATTCTAATCCAAATAATAGCTATCATAACAGACATGTATGCCACCATCTAAAGTTTATAAAGGTAATTCGTTTTTAGCAACAAGACTCATCCAGGGTCAGTATAGTTTCAGGTCCGCTTCGGAGCTGAGGAAGCCAAGTTTCAGAAGGAGAGAAGTTGGTCTAGGCGTAGGGCTCCATTCTGATGTTCCACGGTCTATGCTCATATTATACTGCTCCTTCACAACTGGAAACACAGCGGAGCTACTGTGTGGAGTGAGCTCCCTGGCTTGGGGAATAAGAAAACAGCCATGAAAGTAAGCATTATTGTACATGGCCTCTGTTCCCTGTGATCATTTCTGGTGAGTTTCTTTTCACAATTCCCACCACATCCAGCTTCCTGCCTTTGTTCGGGGTGACCTGTCCTTCAGTCTTCGGAGTAGGAGTTACGTCCAGCTCCACCCAGTAGAAAGGTGACACCCAGAACATTTAACAGAATCCTGACTTTTAAAAACATCTTATTCAGAAATATTAAGATGACCTCTCTGACACAGTTTGCCCAAGCTTGAATAAGATACCCGAAGCAAGTGGAGATATTGTGTAGCAGCAACTGATGGATGGATTAGCATACCCAGCTATCTCACAGAGAACAGTAATTGATGATCAAGCCTTGGAAACAGTCAGGTTTCCGGTCAGAGATGTTTATGAGCTCTTTCCAGGGTGATTTTTTGTACCTTGTAGAAGAGAAGTGGAAGAGAAATAATTGTGATCCGGAGAAAGAGAAGGTTGGGTCACAACCCCATGAGACAGCTACACAAGGAGTCAGTGGTCAGTTCTGGGAGATCACATTTCCCAGTTTCTCCTTCTTACTCACCTGGCTAGACTACATGCTGAATGCACACCCAGAGTGGTCTAACTAGAAATTTGTCAAAAGCTCCAAGAAGGCACACATTCTCCTGGAAGGCCACGGTTACTGCAAGATGGCTGCTGCCACCGAGGCTCTTCTGCCCCGGGCTTCCCGAGTGGGAACACAGTCTAGTAAGAGACGCTGGGCGATCCACATCTGAGAAGCACACACTGGAGAAAGAACTGCAAGGGCCAATTCCTGTTCCTTCATCAAAAAAGACTAAAAAAAAAAAAAAAAGTCTGTGGCCTCCACAAATTTAAAAACAATAACAAAAATAGTAACGTGCATTTCTGAATCTTTGCGCCAGGCTCCCTGAGTCAGTTCTCTATTTTTCTACCACCCAGATACTAATGCATTTGGCATACGTGGGATCTTAGTATTTCAGAACTAGAAGGGAAGCTCTCCCACCCTGGCTTTATCTGTAGGCTGGATAAAGGTTTGGGATTTAGCAATAGGCTTTGCTAGCTCAGCTTGTGAAAATCACATTCTTTATCAACTCCCCAGATGGTTTAGATCATTAAAAACACAACAAAACAAAACAAAAGCCCTTCAGAGTGTACACTGTGAAGATATTCTCTAATTTCCAAGAAAAATAAATATATGTCGAATTTCTCACAGATTTCTCACACTTCCTCAGTATACAGCCTGAATTGTTGTGGGAATGGGAACTTAAAGCCACCGTTTTTGAAACTGCAAAGGCTTGCACTGAATACTTAACTTCCGACAGCCCCTCTGCCTTTCCAGCTTGTCCATCAGCCCCCAGCTCTAAGTCACTGTTTATCTCTTGGGGCCCAGCGAAAACTGAAAAGTGCATGTCTTTATTCAATGAATTTGGGGCAACTGGTTCTCAATAAGCAACAAAAACAAAAAGACTGCTTCAAGTGAAAGAGACCTCCAGAAACTATCCCACCATCTGCTGAGGAGACAGAAGTGAGCCTGTGGGCCAATAGCTCTTTACTGAATAGAGGAAATAGTATTGTCGTCTAAATTTTCTGCAACACTCTTTGGATCAAAATATCATAATTGCAGCAAAGAGATGCAGCAAAGAGATGCGGCCACACTTAATGGACAGTCAAAGGGCCAGAGCACTGCTGGATCTGGATCATTTACTGTCGCTTGGAAGTAAAACGGGGGTCGAAGGGGGCTGGGGTTGGAGGGAGAAAGGGGGACCTTACGCTAAGCTGGCATGCACCGGTGGATAAATGGCTGGTATTCGCAGCGCTGCATTGCAGGGGAGCTCTTAGCAGTTTGCCTCTGCCAGCTGATGTCTCTGTGAACATCAGTGCCAAGAAGCCAAAAATGAAAGCAGGTGCAGGGCAGAGGAACTGAATGTGGAGGGCTGGGGCGGGGGTGTGTGTGTCCGCAACAGAACTTCTGTTGTTAAAAATTGGTTGCCTTCATTAAAACCTAAACAATGCCTCAATTTAACTCTGCGTAACATTTTAGCCCGGGAGAGTCCTGCACACACACTTAAGAGAAGCCTCTTACATTTATGCACTGCAGTAAGAGACTGTTTTTTGTTTGTCTCTCTCCAAAGCTGGGGATTGTCTGCAAGGCTGCCGAACTCCGACGAGAGCAGCTTTCCCTTCCAAAGCCAGCAGCATCTGCTTCTGAAAATGCCTTTCCCCTCCCTGTCTGCCTCCCTCCCAGAGTGCCCCCTCTTCAGAAAGTCCCATTTCGGTACAAGCAGGGCCTGGGAACAGGGAATATTCCTGAACTCAGCATGCCTTCGTCCAGCACTGCAGCCAGCCCGTTCAGCTCTCTGAAATGCTGCTTTCCGATGAGAAAACAGACATGCAGTGCCGCCTCCAATTTACATTTCCCTCAAAAGCTCTATGCTCTTGCAACATTGTTCCCCAAGCCCACCACGAGTCACAGCAGAGAAAAAACAATGGAGTAAGCAAAAGAAAAAAGGACTGAAGGTAAACGTTCGGGGTCAACAGAGGGAAGGAACTAAGGCTTGCCACAGGGCACACTTAAACTCCGAATAAAGGGAAGGACATCGGCCCCTCTGTGGCCCCGCACGGCTGAGCCAGTCCCAGCACGGACCTCATCAGTGGGTGTCCTCCCACATGGAGAATGTGAAAGTCATCCTTCTCGGAGACAGGACACAATTACAGATCCGAGGCAACCTTCTCGCAACCGTAGTAGTGGAAGACCAAAGCCCGGCAAGAGGGAACTGCGGGCGATTTAGGTTGAAAATACACTTCACTTTATTTATTTATTTATTTTTTTCTAATGGACACTACTGCAGAACATTTTTTGAGAAAGGTTTGTTTACAGACATTTAGAGGATAAAGAAATGACAACGTTCATTCCTGAGTCAAATGCTCTACAAGAACTAGAGAGAGCTCAGCCTATTAAAATTCCAATCCCACTGCTTCGAGATCAAGAATGTTCATTATTATTTAGTGTAATTATGTGTAGTGAATCCTGGAGAATGAGAATAGCAATCGGGTTTGCTCCATCACCTTCTGCTGGGTTTGTCTCCTACCTCAGAGCTGCTGTCTTACCCACAGTAGATTTGGCCAGTGTAAGCTTTGAAAGCAGGAACAAAGTTTAAAGGCACAAGACAGAAACACAAATGGGGCTCAGATGCCAAAAGAGCAAGTGGACAAAAAGGAACAAAATTCATAGAGCAAGTTGAGTAGTTTAGATTTTAGTCTGAATGAAATATTGCATTTGGACCTCAGGATCCTGCAGAGCAAAGACTTGGGATGCTGGAATGGAGAGAGCTGGCAGGGCTAGAAAGACACGCTCCGGATAAAGAAGCAGTGACCAAGAATAACATAAAGCACGGCTCCCACTCAGAAATTAGAAACAGCAAAAAAAGTTTAAGGAAAAGAGTGCCCACATTTGAAGAGGTATTCTCAAAATTGAGACTTGAGGGGAATTAACTCGAACGATTGAAGGAAAATTGAAAAACTGTGCAGAACAATTTTTTTACTTATAGCAATTTATCTTGGTCAAATCCTAAGGAGGTATACAAAGTTCATTGTGGAGATATTTATATATGGAAAATAGAAACACTGTTGTCAAGTTCTAAGAGTAACAAAGAAAACTGTGGTATATGCACAAGTCATGCTATAGAACAATATTCTCAAACACAGGAAAGTGCTTATGATATGTTTGCTCGGTAAACAATAGTTGATACATGCCTGCTGATTTTAATTATGTGTAAAACGCCCACAGTAAAATGCTCTGAGCAGTTTTTCTGTGTTCCAGGATTACAGGTGACTTGTTTTTCTTACTTTCCCCTTCATCTTTATTTTTTCAAAATTTTCAAAATGAAAGTGTATGTATTTTGAGCTTTTTACTGTAGAAGGTTCTTTTTATAGAAATGTGTACAAATAAGAATGCCCCTCAACACATTTTAGGAAGCTAAAGGCAACCATGCAGCCCACAGTCACATCAAGGAGTGGCATCAGGAAAAATCCCTCGATGTCCTCTGTTCCCCTTCTGTGTCTCCCCCCTTCCCACAGAGGTGGACCCCGCCAACGTGGGATGCTATGGCTTAGTTTTGCCTTTTGTGTACTTTAAGGGAAGGAATCACACAGCACATCATCTTTTGTGTCTGGCATCTTTCATTCAACACTGAAATGTTTTAGGTAAACTAAAAGCTGATGGGAAGCCAAGACAGTCACATAAGGCAATTCATTGCATCGCGATTTTCTCTTGTTGATCCCAAGCCCTTTCTTCATCCACTGCCTGATTTGTGCTCTGATTACAGTACTGGGCCTCGCATTGTCAGGATCTCTCAGTTGCAAATGTTCTCTCAATTCTTACAACATTCATATCTCCCGTGAGGAGAGTAAACCTCACCTGGTACAATTTTATATTGTTGCATCATATTTTTAATCATCTTGTCCATATTTAATTTGTTGTGTCTTGTTTATTTTAACTATGCTTTCTCAGTGCAGGGCACATGGTGACTGGCAGGTAACCCTATCACTTCGTTTTGTAGGTGTTGGAAAGCAGACTCAAGGTGAATGATTTCTTCTTGGTCAAAGAGCTAGAAGATGACAGATTCTGACTTGAACTCAGAACCCGTCTGCCCCAGAACACTGCATTCAATGGTCCTGCACTACCCCACTTTCTTCGTCACTCATAGTTGATCTACTACAAAGGTTCTAGAATATAAAAAAGCATTTGTCTACCTTTCTTTGGATTTCCCTATCTATGTGGGCAGTATGGTAAGTGTTCTATTACTAAGCATAAGTGAAATGATCTCTAGTCTTTTACTGCACAGCCCTGCTCATAAATATTTTTCTTTGACAAAGCAGCATTATTTTGCCCTATATTTCTGGCCACCATCAGGATCTGGGATTCTGATTTTACTATTATGTGGAGAAGACAATTTTGATTACTAGACATAGCCAACAATGATAAGTAGGATAGGCAGGCAGTGGTAAAGTCGGTGTACTTTATACAAAGAATGGATCATTTGTAAACATCCATCACCTGCTCCTGTATGAAAAATAATTATGAAATAAAATAAAAGTTTAAAACTGTAGAAATAAAAATATAATTAAAAATAGTATAGTATAAAGAATTACTCAATTTTTAGAACATTAACCCATTTTGAAAACAGATGAAAAATTCTTATTTGTCCTGTTGTAAGAATGAAAAATATTATTACAGCTGTTCTCAAGCTTTAAATGGTGCAAATATCTTGATAACTGTCAAAATTGATCTTTTTTACATGTCTATGTTCAATAGACGCAAAAGGAAAAAAATTTCAATGCATTTTTATATATGCTTGATCAAATGACACATTTTTTAAAAATCTTAATATCAGAGAGTTTATTCCACATAAAGTAATTTTAAATAACATACATTTGCAGATATTGTAATATTACTTGCCTTTGGAATGATTCTAGTAGCTCTTAAATGTAGTTATTTAAACAGTTTTAAATACGCAAATCATTAACTTTCTGTTTGAGGGTCTCCCCAACTCCTAGTATTCCACTAACTTAAATGCTGTAACTTTTTTTTTTAGTCCGTGTACTTTGTACATATGCTCTTTAAAAGCAGAAGAACACAGTGCTGTGGGGTTAGAGAAATGAGCCCTGCAGGAATGGGGCTTTTGAAATAATTTCCTGCAGAATGCATTGCTTACAAAATGGTGATTAATAAATACCCACTGATTTCAGCTTTTGATATACAGTATTAAAAATGAGCAATAAGCACACGCAATAGTCGAAACTGTGCTCTCCCCAGTTTCCTACGTTGAAGTCCTAAACCCCTAGCACCCCAGAGTGAGACTAGATTTGGGCCATACAGGTTCCATGATATAAGTTCTCATCACCAAAAAGAATGTAGCAGGTGGATGTGTACTAGTAAGAAGGATGCATGTAATGGTAAAGTGTCTCCAAAATTGTGTTGCATAACATACATAAGGTCTTATTCTCAAAAATGTATATGTATTTACACATGTGGACTGGGAGAGTTATTTGACTTCTCTTTATATTTTCTTGTCCACATTCTGGTTTTCTGATGATGTGTCTCTCAAAATGGCCCTAGACTGGGTAAGTGACACAGAATTTTCTTCCTTTGGGCATGGTAATTGGTACGTGACCAAACAGGGCTACTTGCAGTCCTTCCTGGGGAAGGTTAGGAGTAAGAGGTTTAATCACCATGTTGCCTAATCTGAAGGATGTTCACCTGGGGATGTTAATGGTCTCATTTGCTTCTGCAAATAGCAAGCTGTCTTTAACCAATGAGAATGAGGCTACCCCAAAGCAGAGACCAGAAGACGCTGGGGACCGAGATGGAGAAAAATCTCCATCATTACCATGTGAACTGTGGATGGAACTGTGTTTCAATTCCATTGAATCTCCTGCCTATAAGAGTAAATAAATTATTCAAACTAGTTGGGAATTCATTTCTGTGTCTAGCAAACAAGTCCTTTCAAATTAAAGTAACATATGTATATTTGAATGTACAGGTATGGGTATAGGAAGAGAGTGGAAAAATGTTCACCAAACTTTAACAGGCACTAATTACTAGCAACTGGAAGATGGTGGCATCCTCTTCTTATATTTATGTCCTTTTGTATTGCTGGAATGACTTTTATGACAACTATGCATTTGTTACAGATCTTCAAAATGTGATGTCAGTAAAACTAAAGTCAACCAAATTTTATAAAAATTTAAAATCACAGCGGCAAGATGTGAAAAATATAAGAATCTATGTGTATTTATAGGGAAGAATTAGAAACAATGTATGGACATGATATGGAGGCAAATTTATATCAAGATGAAAGATAAATCCTTCATCACCCAATGACTAAGTAGCCCAGAAGCACTATTTATGTTGGCAACAACTATTAATCTCAATGCCACATAGCAGAGACCAGGATGAAACAAAGTGTGACTGATGTATCTACACAATGTAATAAAAAATAGCTGTGAAAATAAGTGAGCTAAAGTTAGCTTTAGCCACACTGATAAATCTCACTAATATATTATTGAACAGTAAGAATAAGTTGCAAAAGAAAGCAGACTACATTGAATCATCCATACAAAGTTCCAGAACATTTAGCACATCTTTGGAGATGGATGGATAGATAGAATGTATTATTAAAAGATACACAGGAATAGTGAATACCAAAAGTAGGGATTTAAAGTAAAGACTAGCCTTCAAGAAAAAGAAAGAGTGGATTCATAGAATGATACACAGTGTATCAGTTTTCTTTTGTTGTGGCAAAATCCCTAAGAAAATCAGAGGAGGAAAGATTCATTTTGGCTCACAGTTTCAAGCTTTCATCCCATAGAGCCTTAGTTCTATTGTTTCTGGGCCTATGATGAGGAAAACATCATGGTGAGGAGCATGAAGTGGAACAACACAGCATATCTCCTGTCAGACAAGAGGTGGAAGGGAGCCAGAAAAGGGGGTATCCCCAGTGCACACTTCTGTGATCCCCTCTCTTCAGGGGGGGCCATCTCCTAAAGCCCTGTTCTGCTATGGACTCATCAGTGGATGAGTGAGACTGATTCCTTTGGTGACTTTAATTCCCTGATGATCCAGTCACTTCCCCAAACCCCATCAACTTATAACCATGGCCTTTGGGGGAATTTCTAGATCAAAAGCTCAACACACAGAGCTTGAATTTAATATAACTAATATGTTTTTCTTTGCTTCTTATGCTAGGTTATGTGTATGTACATAAATACTAATTGCATGCATTTTATACTTTTCTGTACGTGTGTAATATTTTATAATAATCATAGTAGAATCAATAGTAAGCACTTGTTATAGGCCAAGCACTATGCTAAGGATTTTACATTATCTTGTTTCTTACTCACAAAAGCCTTATCACATGGGGACTGTTGTCAACCTAATTTTACATGTAATAAATCAAAGGATGAGGAAGTCAGATGATGGTAAGTAAGGAGCATTGCTGGGATTTGAGGCTAGTGGTCTATGTGGTAGGTAACAGTCAAAATCTTTGCACCTTTCTCTTAGCCACATACAGACATTCAGATGTCTTGAACTCATGTTGGAGTAATGGCTCGATAACTCCATTGTAAACTGAAAATATCATCAATTGAAAATTCACTGAATATGCCTAACCTAATGAACATTATACTTTAACCAGAGTACACTGTATCATACCAGTTTGTTTACTTGGTCATTGCTGCCCAGCATTACAAGTGAATACTGTACCACATATCACTTGCCCTGAATAAAATGAAATTCCAGATCCAGAGATGCAGCTAGGCATTGTGGTGCACACATGTAATCACAGAACTTGGGTGAAAGAGGATCACAAGTTCAAGGGTCAAGACCAGCTTGAGTTACATAGTAAGTTCCAGGGCGTCCTGATTTACGGAGCAAGACTCTGCCAAAAACAAGCAATCAAACAAACAACCAAAACAAAACAAAATGCCTTCAAAGAACAATTCTACTGAATGCATCTCATTTCCACAGCCATAGAAAGTCAAAAAGTTCTAAGTTGAAGTCAAACCATCATAAACTGGGGACTACCTGGAAACATATGAAAGGGCCATTTAAGGACGATTTGTGAGCTGTCTTATTTTTTAATATGATGAATCACTTGATGACATAATGTGTTCCTTAGGTCTGAAATGTAAATAGATGACCAAAGCTCGGGTCCTCGAGGATTACATTGCAGTGGTAGGACACTGCAATATATAAATTGAAATTTCCTACCAACTACAAGTAACTGAGTTCTTAATGTCAGAAAGTCTGTTTGGCGGGAAACGCAAGGGCTTTTACTTCAATTGTGTTGAGTTTGAAGTGAAAGTGTGGCCAGAAAATGGATGATGGGATTCACTTTGGGTTACAGTGATGACTTTATCTGCATAACATTGTAAACACAGAAGTAGATGTGATAATCCAAGGAACACGCAGGGAGCAGAGCTGCAGAGGCTTACATGTGGAGGGAAGAAGGAGACTATTTTTGTTTGTCCATCGGTCGGTCTGTACTCCTCCACACGCCCTGCCTACACACATGCTTGCATAGGTAAGTGCATGCAAATTCATTTTGTTCTGAACATTAATAGCAACAATTCTCAGGGCTGGGGATTTACCTCAGTAGTTCCACTACCTGCCAAGGTCCCAAGTTCCATCCCCAGTACCAAAGGAAAAAAAAATGTGTCTATTCTGGCACTTTTATTTACCTCTCTACTCTATTTGTATTGAAATCTAAAGATTTCACACACACACACACACACACACACACACACGCTCACAGGAACAACCACTGCTCATATGTCCTCTGTGCCCTGAAAGAAATAACTATTTCACATTAGCAAACATTTCATATCTCAGCCTTTATAACTGTCAAATAAGAAAGAGCATACTTAGTACCAAAATAATAATTTTTGGAAAAAAATGTAAATATGGTACTTGAAAAAGAGAAGATGCATTGGAAAGTGAGGAAGAAGAAAAGCTAATGTTTATTGAGCTTCCAGCCCCCTCTCACTTTGCCAGGATAGATGTCAAAGTATAGAAACCTCTTGGCAATTTAACTGTTCATCACTAGCCTTCTTTTTGAGTGAGTAGTTGAGTTTCAGAGATATTAAATAAGTTTCCCTAATATCACACAGGATACCAATATAGATATGTGTTGGCTCAAGGTCCATATGATTTTATTTATGTACAAATGAGAAATGCAAAGTCCATCCAAAGAAATGTAAACACACTTCAGCAGTTCTCTGAGCTAATAAATGTCTGGAAGCTCATGTTCACCACCAGGAGCTTCTTGTCATCACAGAGGCCAAAGGTAACTTGTATTCATCTCTGATGTCTCAATAAATTACAATATTTAAACAAGTTTTTCTTTTCCTGGTGTGTACGTTTCTGGCAGACTCTGTTATGGAGCTTTATCCAGCCAGAGATTAATCTATTCCTTCATATTTAACCGACTACATCTTCAGTCAAGTCAAAACTATTACCGGTGATCAACAGATTTCTAATAC